CTGGGATCCTGAAGTATCACATAAATAGGAGAGTTGGTGTCTGAAAATAATTTTTTTTTTCAAAAGTGTACACTGTGCATATTTAAAGTTTGTTCGGATTTTTCACAGAGGGGAAACATCGACATTAGTGCTGGAGATAGGTTGAGTGTTTACATTGAAGTGAAAATTTGTTTAGGTTTCTTATTTTTTTTTTTTTTTTCATTTATACACTGTTGCTGTTAATGTATGTCGTCCTGTGTAAAGGCGTTTCAGAAAAATAAACAAAATGTTTTCCGATGGTGTTGGTGTTCTCTTGTCTAATATTTTTACTAATTTATTTGTTTTTTTTTTTGTGATCACATTTACTAATAAGTTAACAATTGGAGACATATACGGTAAAAGAGTGGATTTTGTTCGTATTTTAAAGTTTTTTTTTTTATAGAGAAGGTTAAGTAGTATTTTACAAATTTGTGAATAGATAACAAAGATTTATATATGTTACATTTTTAGTTTCTTAGAAAGTATTTAATATTAATATTTGTTCAATATTTTATTTTTTTGTTTCTACTTTTATAAAGTTATATATATTTTTTTTCTTTTAGAGGATATTGTTTGTTTACAATAAATTCCTTTTAGGTTTTAATAATAATATTTTATTATTTTTTATTTACAATTTTTTTAATATTATTGCACATATTTCTAAATTAGTCTAATAGTATACTTATTATTTAACATCTAGCATACATGTAAAGGTAAAAAATATATTTGTACAATGTTTCGCCTTCTACACAAAAGTTAAATTCATTATAAAATACAAGAAATTCAATTAAATTTTTTATAATATTTATATTAAAAACAAGATGTTATTGATTTATTTTTAAAGGAACGCCAACAAAAATAACCAATTAGAAGTAATAAAAGAATATAAATGATAAAAAATCCGTCGGGATGGGACCCACTTATTTTAAATTGGACATTTGATTTGAAAGGAAGTATAAAATCAGCAGTGCCTTATAAGCGAAAAACTCTGAATCAGTTTACCGAATCGATCTTAGACCTGCAAGTTTTTTTTGGAATTGAAAATAGGTATCCTCCAATTGTATGTGTCTAGACCAAATTCCCAAATAATTTTTTTTTTGCATTTTGTATTTTGAGTTAGCAGTGGGTGCTTACCCCCATCAATGAAATCTTTCGATATGAGTCTTTTTTATATGGCCCGTATAAAATATCCCTATCTAATATGTTAATTATTCATATATGGGGTTTGCTGAAAATTGCCTATATATTTCCATGATTTGAGATTTTATGATCTGAACCACAATTTTGATTCAAATTATCTGTAAATTGGCAAAGGCTCGCCTATAAATGTATGTAAACCCTAGGTGTAATCTTAACAAGTGATATACATAGATGTACTGACAGGTAATTGAAATGAAAATATGGGGAAAATACCAAAAAGTGGACCTATACCGACATTTTTACAAACCCATTATGTAAATAATAACACAAATATCAGAAATTTTTAATGGATAATAATACCCTCAGCCCTATGGCTAATGAGATTGTATACACTTTGAGACGGTGAAAATGTGTCTCATCGAAATATTGGTTCTAGACCCCATGTTTCAGAAAATATTGATTTCATCCAAACATTGCAAATCTTAGTATTTCTTCCAAACTTAGTTCCAGTTCGAAGATATTACCTCCATTTTGGTATCTTCACCACAGGTAAAAGGAATCGAGATAGATCCATGGTTCGTTTTAAGAATATGCATAGAATCACTTTCTGTGTCGATTTATGCATGTCCATACATGCATTTTTGTGAGTAAAGTACAGGCCGCATTTATGATCCGATTTAGATGAAATTTGGTTTAGGCCACTTACTTGGCCCAAAGACAAATCCTATTGAAATTGCGGAATATCGGTTCAGATTTAGATATAGCTCCTATATAAAGTTTCGTCCGATTTTATGTAAATGGTGCAACAAGCTCCCAATATTGGTTCGATTGAGACAACATTTTGCACAGAGAACTGAATCAGGTATTGATAGATGTATGGGAAGTTTTGTTGAAATCGATTCAGATTTAGATATAGCTCCCATATATAGTTTCGTCCGATTTTATGAAAACTGAGCATAATATATCTAATGTTTGTCCGATTGAGACAACATTTTGAACAGCGTACTGAATTAGGTCCAGATTGATGTATTCGAAGTTTGGCTGGAATCGGTTCAGATTTGGATATAGCTCCCATATATACTTTTGTCCGATTTTATGTAAATGGAGAAAAGTACCGTCCGACTTTTGAACTTTCCTTAATGTTTTTTTTTTTTTTGTACGAGGCCAAAACATTGACCTTCATTGGAATCTTTTTGCCAAGAGACTTTTAGCTATTGGGAAAGTGAATTATATTGGAAAATGCGAATAGAACCTTCAAAATACCTAAATGGGACATACATTTATTTCCGGTTTATGCTCAATATTCTTAAAACGGGACCAAAACCTATGACGGACCAATAGAGAAATTGTTCTGTAAAAAGAGTATTGTAATTGTATTACAATGGTAATACAATGGCCAAACCAGGACTAACGACCAGGAAGGTTATGCTATGCATTTGGTGTGGCTGGAATGGGAAATAAATAATGAGTTGTTTCCAGATGACCAAACCCTAAATTTTGATCGCTACTGTCAACAAATGGAGCGTTTGAAGATAGCATTGAGCACCACCAGAACAACGCTAGGCCACACACATATGTACAGTGATTCGTCAGAAACTTCGGGAGCTTGGCTGGGAAGTTTTAATGAATCCGCCATATATAGTCCGGACTTGACAGCAAATTTTGCATTGCAAAATTTCTTTATTAATAAAAAAATTGATATCTAGAGAGGATTGTGAACTCGACTACTGGAGTTTTTTTGCAAATAGAAAGCATAACTTCTATCATACAACAAAATGGTGCATATTTGGACATCGGACAAATCGGACATTCCGAATTAACCTAAATTTAAAACAAATCAGTTTGAGGTTATTTATAGTATCAAATTATAATTTAATTTGTGAACAGACACTTACACTAATCTTCGAACTGTCACTGTCAATTTATTCAATAAACTTAAAATTTTCATTGTGATAAAGTAAGTGAACGATCAACATCTGTAAATTAAAAAAAAGCTATTAATAGCTTCTGGGGAGAATATCCCAACAAAGAACTAAGGGAACTGATGAGGATCAGTGGCGAGATCCGAAACTATAGTCTTCCCTGCCTTACCCCTCGGCGGACAATGCCATACATTCCCCACTAATAAATAGTTGTTTTTTATAAAAACAACAAACTGGGATTAAGCCTGACTATTTTGCAAAAAAAAAAAAAAAAAATTGTTGAATTTCGGACACGGTGACTGAAAAACTTTAACGCCAGTTTTTTGGTCGTTATTCCCTACTCAGAAGGCAGATAATAATTAGTTTATTGCAAAAAATTCAGTGTACATATTCATTGTGTGATGTTGCCGTGCCAGTTAGAAAATTGGTTTGTCGAAGTTTCGAAAATATCTCCGCCGTTCAAGCGTCCATATCAAACGATCCAAATCAAGCAATTAAACGACGTCCTCAAGAATTGGTTTTCGCCCAGGCTATTTTTTGGTGAATTTTATGTAGTGATTTTGGAATTAAAGCCGATCGATTATTTGACTTTGAAAAATTTGCCAGGTTCTTATTGAAAATCTCTTTATTAAAAAGCAGCACTTTTTCAAAAGTGGCATCAATTTTTAAATTGATTTGTCTCGTAAATGTAAATATTTATGCACACACTCAATATATAGGAATTTTATTCTGGAATATTCTAATTTTTAAAGTATTTGTTTCGAGCAGATTAGCCCATTTGACTTTTTTTTAGCATTACCGTTAAACTTGTAACAAAACTTAATAAATTCCAAATGACATGAATTATGTTGTATCTGAAAATAAAATAAAATAAAATAAAATAAAAAATCAAAATAACTTAAATTTCTATATATGTACATTTGTTTAACATTTATTAAAGAAATAACTTTACACATTTGCATAACACTGGCTTTATTACAATTTTCAATTCATTTATATTTATAAGTCTTGATATATTTTTGTGTTTCCTTCTGTTTTTTCCAATTTTTGTGACTGTCAATAAAGTAACAACATACATACATCCATTTTATTCACAAAATACGCAACGTACACTCAATTTATTGTACATACATCTCTATATATGTATTGATAAATATATTGTAGTATATAAATATTCTTATATTACATATAAGATACACAAAGATATACGTACATAGATGCCTTACATATTACTTACACATTTCCGGAGACCGCTTAATTGTAGTTGGGGGGTAATTCCCAAAATAAAAATATATGCATGTATATGTATGTATTTAATAACAATAATTATGATATATTTATTTTGTTTTTCTTTTTTTTTTGTATTTTATTTGAAAACATTTTGGTTTATTTCGAATTCGTATGTTTTTTTTCATATTTTTTCTAATGATTTTTTTCGACTTAATTATTTAATTGGAGGTACTAAAAATACATTTAAAAACTTAATATTAATAATTTACAAAAATTTAATTCTTCGCAGTTGTTGTGCTAATTATACAAGTTACATATTTTGTTGGTCAACTGTTGGAACTGATTCGTGGGAGAGGCTTCATATGAAATTTTCAGTATCTAATACATAATTGTAATAAATTCAGGCCAAAAATTGTATTTTGAAAAAATATAATTTTGTTAATAAAACCTCTGAAATTTTCAAATATTCATTAGATATGAATTAAATTTGGAAAATTCCATTTAAAACCTTTTTTCACATCTCCAATTCCAAAAACCCCTGTATACTTGCATTACTCTTTATTACGTTCTTTTTCTTCTACATTCCTTGTAAGTATTAATTTATTGGGAGGTGTATATGTATTTTGTTGTTGTGTGTGTGAGTATGTGTGTTTTTTCATTTAGTTTTGTAATTTAAAAACCATTTAATGGTTATGTATTTGGCAATTGAAGATTTGTTCTGTGCTGCCACAATACACAGCTGTCGGGCAATTCTGTATCAATAACACTATTATAAATATCATCAACACAATCACATCGTTGGCATTGATGGCAATGCTGATGATGCTGTTGTTGATGTGATTGCCGCTGCAATATCAGCTCTTGTCGGCAATTCTGCATTGACTGCTCTCGGTGATCCTTGTTCGCATTCTGTTTAATGGTCCCCTTGAACCGCCAACGTATACGATGACGTAGAGTGCTTTGTTGCTGTTGTAGCCATAATAAAATAAATGAGCCCAGCACCAGCAGTGTGAGCGGTGTGGCTTTAAGGTTTGAGCTATCGCCGTGATGCATAGCCGCAGGATGTTCACCTGAAATTAAAGAAGAGATTTCACAACATTATCATGGTGTTTTTTTTAATACATCGACGTACACAAAATAACATGGAATTTATATATGTATATGTAATATATTGGTTATTGGCTTGTTTCCCCCCTGTGGCAAACATTAATTTCGTTTAATAAGTATTTCGTTAATTTACTAACCTCCCCATTATGGGTTAATGGCTTGCTTCCGCAATTTCGCTTAATTTCACGTCGCCCATTAATTTTATTATCTGTTTATATGATGATACCTATTCAGTGGCATAGACTCCGGCGAAATATATCGATAACTTTATAATTGATATTAACTGCGGATACAATCGTGTAAATCCATGTATATAAAGCTTCCTAAGTAAGTGAGCTTTAAAAATAATTTATGGAATTTCTATTGTATCGGGGAAATTGTAATTAAAGTCAAACGAAACGAAATGGATTGCAATGTAGTCGTTACATTAGGGGAAGGTCGTAAAAGATAATTGATAATATTGTAGCTTTAATGAAGACATTTTGTATTCATCGAATAGGTTTAAAGGCAGTAATAGAATATAATAATATATAAATTTTTTAAACATAAGTATTATGTGATCATATGCTTTATAACGGAAATATCGACTACTTATACCATACACAATTATGTTGTAAGGATTTTAAACTTTTTAAAACATTGTGTGGTCCCAAGAGTTTGTAACGCCGCGAAATATTGGACGTCTACGTATTCTGATATTATTTACTACTCTAGACAGACTAGAGAGCATACAAATTGCGCTGACTGCTATGGACTTTCACATAAAGTTCCGGTTGGAGTCGAGATAATGATCAGGTTATATATAGGGGATGAAATTGACCGAAAAATTACTTTTGTCTGGTTTTTCTAGTCTGTCTAGAGGACATGATTGTATGCAAAACATCACAAATTTTACAAGGGGTAGGGGATCTGTTTTCATAATGAAACAAAAAAACCAATATAATTTTGTGTAAAATAAAAAAATATCTTATGATTTAAATGTTCAGGTTAAGAAATATGAGTTGTTGGCCTCTTATCGGTCGGTAGAGTTCAAATATCGGAAAATATTATCCTTTCTCGGAAAAAAGATGCGCAGAAAGTTAAACTTATGTGGTAGTTGTGTGGGGTATCAGTTCGGTCCCGTCCGACAAATACTTCTTCGCTCACTGGTTTTATGCTGCAAAACATTATTTGTTGTCTTCCACGAATTTTATAGAAATGTATAGTCTTATGTTTAGGTGAATATGAACGTCCGTTGAGATTATTAAAATTACATTTCCTCTTATAATTTTGCAATGCAAGAAAAATATGATAATCGCTTGGTGCCAAGTCTGGACTGTATGGCGGATGCATTAAAACTTCCCTACCAAACTCCCGAAGTTTCTGGCGAGTCACTATAGATGTGTGTGGCCTGGCGTTGTCCTGGTAGAACACGACTCTTCTCTTGTTAGCCAATTCTGGTCTTTTCTGGTCAATTCTTATCTTCAAACGGTCCAGTTTTTTAAGTAAATATTAGAATTTAGCGTTTGGTTATATGGTAGCAACTTATAGTACATAATTCCATTCCAGTCCCACCAAATACATAGCAGAACCTTCCTGGCCGTTAGTCCTGGTTTGGCCACCGATTGAAGTGCTTCATCGCTCTTTGACCACGATCGTTTTCGCACAGGGTTATCGTAATTCATCCATTTCTCATTTCCTGTCACCACCCATTTAAGAAATGGGTCCATCTTATTCCGTTTGGGCAAGGCTTCGCAGATGAAAATTCGATTCATCCTATTTATACCCTACACAACTATGTTGCCAGGGTATTATAGCTTTGTGCAGCCCCAAAAGTTTGTAACGCCGCGAAGTATTGGTCCTAGACCCACCTTTTAGTATACCGATAGTCATATCTCGACTAGCTGAGTCGATCTAGACATGTGTGTCCGCCCGTCTGTCCATTATAATTTGTAAACACGATACAGGCCACAGTTATGGACCAATCTTCGCGAAATTGCATGTAGGATGGGTTCTGGCCAATGAAGACCCCTATTGTTTTTGGAAAAGATCGGGTAATATTTAGGGGATGAAATGGACCAAAAACTTTATTTTTGTCGGTTTTTCTAGTCGCTCCAGAGGCCGCTATTATGGCCCGAACACCGCGAATTTTTGCATGGAGAAGGTGATCGGGCCAAAGAATAAGCATGCATGTTTTGATAAAGATCTGTTATTATTTAGCGGGTCAAATGGACCCAAACTTTTGAGTGAAAATGACAAAATTTGTATTCTATGGCGTATATGTTAACTCCTGAAGGACTCCCGAGAAGTTGATAGTATATCCAAGAGGAGTGGTTGACCTTTAAATTGATACCAATTATATTGTCGTATGTACTCGGATGTGGGAGATACACTTAAATATTTACAGGTGCTTACGTATTGATATAGTATTCAGTAAGCCATTACCACACTAGAGGGCAGAAATATAGCGCTGATCGCTTTTAAATTTTCCATGAGGATCCAGGTATGGTCAACTACTACGGCTATAATTTGTGGCGATGATCAGATACTAATTTTTGATGAATTATACCGAAAACTTAAATTTTTTGTGTTTTTTTAGTCGAACTGACAGTCGAACATCACAACCCTACCCACCGTGAAGGGAATCTGTAGTCAATATTAGTAATATTTGTTGACCTCTAGCCGGTCAAGAGGGTGCAAATATCGCGAAATATTGCCAAGATCAGAATATAGAACCCCAGAATGTTAGATTTTCGTGGAAGTTGTGTAGGGTATCATATGGTCGGCCCCGTCCGACTATACTACTCCGCTCACTGGTTTTTCTTTTAATTTGTGTGACACCCAAAATCGATCTTCTTTTTTTTAGCTCCTGTGGTCGATTTTTAGCTCCTGGGCGATGTTACGACTGCTGACATGATAGTCAATTTCGGATATTTCTCCGATTTTATCGACATTTTCATAATGGTTTTCTTTTTCCCCAACTTAATAATATGCATCCTTAGATTTTGAAATGTTGATCCATTCGTGGGGGGAATTCCCATGCATTATCTTAGTTTGATAAAAATATAACATTGTGCAAAGTTTGGATCAAAACAGATGCTCCTTTCGGAGCGGAGACCCCTTAAAGGATATATATTCTTCATCAGGATAAAATTGTACGTCAACTAAGCCATATTAGTATGTATGTCCTTCTATTGAAAATACGATAAAGATTGCAATATTGAATATAGAGCTTTGACAATTTGCACACACTTTGCTACTACTCCTGCAATGTTTAGTATTGGAAATGGGGTATATCGTTCTGTCATAGCCCCACATAACGGTACCTCCCTAAGACGAGATTTTTTTGCCTCCGAATTTTTTACTACAATGTCGCTCAGACTATTTTAAATGTGGACCCCAACGACATAAAATCGGTTTTAGGACAATTTCATAATCCTTTTTCATCCTTACCTTATTTCTTTGTACACTAATAAATTTCGAATAAATTGGACATTATAAATGAGTTTACCATAATTATATCTAATTATACCAAATATTGGTCAGTTATATATAGCTATAAACATTCGCTTACATGCCAATGTAATTAGTTGAGAAAAACCGGCACAAAAATCATTTGACGATCCGCATCTATCATCCGCGATTTAAAGTTATAAACGATTTTGAGATATCTTTATGACAAATATTGCAGACGAATCCTACAGTCGTTTATACTGTACAATTTATTCAAAAGAGGATGTTTTTCTCTTGATTATAAAATACCAAAGGACGGTCTGTTACCGGATGAGATATATAGAATTTTTTAAATACAAATGTGTAAAAACAAATCGTCAACAGACCATAATGATTATTTTTCTCATTACTATTCTAAATCTTGTTTATGGTCCATTTGTAATGTATGCTGCTTTTGCTTATATTTGTAAATGAAAAATCTCCTCGATAACTCGATATAGTTCACGATATTTTATCCTAGTATAGTATTTTTATTTACATCAGATACCGATTCAAAACAAATTCTTGATTATTTATTTACTTATTAAATGTACCTTTTTTCTACGAACTCATTAGACATTTCCTTTAATTCACCAACATTGTTATTCTACTCAACATTCATTGGCATTTTCCCTATCTTTAAATTACAACAAAATAAATTATATAGCTAAATTACACTGTCAATCAACCAAAATGGAAAAATGAAAAGCAATTGTATCCTTAATAATGAAAATGTGGTAAAAAAAAAACTTCGACAACACAACAACTAAATTGAATAACTTTTACATCAGCAAAACTATTTTGTTGAGACATTGTAACCTAAATTAAAAATAAGGCTGCAAAAAAAGAAAAACACGAAAAAACTTGGCATATACTGTAATAACATTAAATGTCGAATATTTCTCATTGAACTAATCGAACAAGCACGCACTACGAATAAATAATAAAAAACACTACAAAAACTATGTAACGTAAATGACTTTGAAATTAGGGCGGCATATATCAGACAATGGGGTTTGGGGGGTAGTGAAACTGATGTTTTGAATTATAATTAATTTTTGTTGAACTTTTATATTTTTATGTTATACGAGTTATAGTTAAGTAAAAAACACAAAATGGTTATGTGTTTCTTATTCTTTAAATTAAAAAAAGTATTATTACCGATTTCTGACCCACCCTATTATCGATCATTATAGAAATTTCTATAAGTGTATACCTAAAGCTTGCAAAGCAATTATATTAACTATTTTCAACATATAGAAAAAAACATAACAAATAGCAAACAACTTAATAAGTTTCTTTCGCGAAGACATCGACGACGGGAAGTTATGCAGTAATGGTACTACTCACTGCCTCTACAGGAAACCGTCGAAACTTTACGAAAAGAGAGAGAATGAAAGAAAATCACTTAAACTTTCGTAATTAAGACAAGTTTGTTACTGTTTTCTTCGTACTTATCTATTCACTCGTTTCTTGGCATGTTCGCTCACTC